CAATCTGCTCTGGTAACTGTTACAATTTTTGGATACATTACACTACTAGTGAGCCAACCCAGATGACTTGACTCACTTTATAGTCCATCATTAGAAGGTTAACCAATCAGAAGATGTAGAATATTCAATCCGTTGTGTATAAAGGCGGCCATTTTGTTTACTCTATTTGAATGTCCAGTGCCAGCTTGTCAGGCGAAGAGGAACAGAAGGAAGAACTACTCTGCTACTTTACCGGGATATCCACTGCTAACCTGAACAACGCTTCCCTACTCTCTTCGAAATATTCACTGCTAACCTCTGGATTCTATACTCGAAGACAACCGTCATCATGAACAACAGTAACTTCTTTCTTCTTTTATTGGCATTTCACACCAATACTTCCCAATGGGCATGGGCAATTCCTCCACCTTCCTTGCTATTTCACCTGTGCCTGCCACCTTGGCTAACCCTCAGCCAATCTAGCTCATGATCATTTGGCATGGCTTAATTTGTGATCATTAATTAAAAAATTATCATTTCAAATTTTGCTTACACAAAATTTTCCCCATCTTGTTCTTGTCCAAAATCAGATATTTACCAAATGGTTCTCCAGTCAGCTATTCCCTTAACCCTGTCATGGTCATTGCACTCGAACCACAAGGAAACTCTATTCTCAAGTTTTGGCTACAGATCAAATCTTATCTGTCCTATTTTGTGTTTTTGTAACCATCACTTTGTAGCTGGGTCGTTAATCAGCTGTCAGCTTAAAGATCGCCACATTGCATCTTGTGGTAATCTAGCCTTTCCTTAAGTAGATTTTCTGATCTTAAAGAATTAAGCCTTTTCTTGAAAAGTGAAATCTTTATTCTTTCTCTCGGTCTGTCCGTTGTTCTAATCATCAACCCTTTCTTTCCATTGCCAAATAGTGTCACATACCGGGTGTAACAGCAAAATTGTCCAATATAAATAATATATGTATAATAAAATACATATACCTGTCGCCTCCTTCTTGGCCATCGGAATGTTCTACTCCCGCGGTTGATCAATCAGATGATCGCTTTGATCCACCTTGGCTACCCTTCGACCAATCTAGCTCTTGACTGCTTAGCGTGGCTTAATTTATGGTTGTTAATTAAAAAGAAATTATCATTTCAAATTTTGCTTACATAAAATTTTTCCATCCCGGTCTTGTCCAAAATCAGATATTTACCAAATGGTTCTCCGATCAGCCATTCCCCCAACCCTGTCAGGGTCATTGCACTCCAACCACTATTCTCAAGTTTTGATTACAGATCAAATCTTATCTGTCCTATTTTATGTTTTCGTAACCATCACTTTGTAGCTGGGTCATTAATCAGCTGTCAGCTTAAAGATCATTACATTGCGTCTTGTGGTAATCTAGCCTTTCCTTAAGTAGATTTTCTGGACTTAGAGAATTAAGCCTTTTTTGAAAAGTGAAATTTTTATTCTTTCTCTCGGTCTGTCCATTGTTCTAATCATCAACCCTTTCTTTCCATTTACCAACGCCAAATAGTGTCACATACCGGGTGTAACAGCGAAATTGTCCAATATAGCTTTTCCTTAAGTTTTAGAGAATTAAGCCTTTTCTGAAAAGAGAAATCTTCGTTCTCTTAGTCTCTCTGTCGTTCTATTCATTAACTCTTTCTTTCCATTTACCAGTGTTAAATAGTGTCACATGTATGACAAGCATCTTTTTTTCACTCACAGAAGAGGTTCAAGAATGGTAGAGAAGAGGTGAGAGATGTGGGACATCAGAACTGGTTGAGAAAATTCACAATTTTCTGGATGTACTGTGACAAACTACAGAAACCAGAGAAACAGGTTGAAACACACATTCATTCTTTGTCTGTACAATGACACTTAGCAACATTCTGTTGATGAACTCAAACCTATGATACAACATCAAGAATATTGCAGAGAAACAGCTTGGATTTGTGTCTGACTTAACTAATTTATTTTGTCATGCTGATGAAATAGTGCCATCAGAAAAATTCATTTTATTTTAGCACTACTTAAATAGATTGGTCCACTCATAAAAAACAGAGAAAAATGTTACGGGAAATAATTTTTGTAGATTAGCATTCTTTAGACCTTTCTTAGACCGGTGTACTTGTGTCCCATATAAATTTGAATGTGCTAACTGGAAAAATTACGTTGGATAGACTGTTCATCATTTGCATGGAACAAAGGAAAAAGTCCTTAATTTACAAACATTTGTCAAATAACACAGAGTTTAAACAAAAAAGCAATTTTAATTGTTTCTCTATCATTGACAGGATAGACACACCATACAAGTGGCTATTAAAGAAGGATTTGAGATTGCTAAGAGAAAGCCTTATTTAAATAAAGAACTTAAATCATATATGACAGTTTGAGAATGTAAAAATAATTTTCCTTTCTTCTTTTAATAATTTCACCCCAAGCAAGGCAATCAAGCCACTAAGAAGCAAGGAGTTACTGAGTGTGAGAAAATATGAGAAAAAAATATTATTAAGGAGAGAGGATAATAAAAGAACAAGAATGAAGGAGACAGTAGATAACGATTGACATTGCATTTCAATTTTTGGTGATTAAAATTGACTGGGAAGAAAGAAGCTGGAAAAAAGTTCCATGAGTGAGAAGTGTGAGAGAAGAAACTGTTAGCATAGAACTTACAGCTACATTTAACTATTTCAACTGTAAAATGATGAGACCTTGCCACCAATCTAGTACTGCACTTCATAAAGTCTTAGTACCATAGAAGAAAATTCATCAGAACAATTAGCATTAAAGTATTTATATAAAAGGAACAGGGAGACTATGTTCCAGCAGTGTGAAAATGACTGAAGTCAAGATGCCAGTTCAGAACCAATAACATTGCAGATTCTTCTTTAGATTTTATCAAGAATCTCTAACTACATAGCAGAAGCATCAGAGAAGACGTAAAAGCAATATTCAATGCATGGATGAATGGTGGACTTACAAAATGTGTAAGATAGATTCTGGTGAGAGAAATTATCTGACATAACACAGTGAACGTAAATATTTTTTCAACACAACCTTCTTACTTGTCAATGCACTTAATTGAGTAGTGAATATTACCACAAAGATCAAACATTATGCAGTGAAAATCTCAGATTAAAATTCAGCTAATAATTATATGTCAAGCTGCATATTTATTGATTTATATGTTTCATAGCCTGTCAAGTAAAGCTGAATCTTGACCTGAAATTTTCAGTGTATAATGTTTGGTCTAACTGATTAATTGAACTGAGGAGGAAGATCAGATTAGATTATAAATATTTGTTGTGTAGACAATTATTTTCCATTATTAGGCTATGGACTTATTGATGTACCTAAGTAAGATAGGATGCTGAAAAGTTCTCGGCCTGACACATTTGTCAAAATTTGATGTAACATTAGTTTTTGGAATCCCATCTTGGTCAGGTTGAGAACGTTTCGGTACCCTTTTATATATATATATATATATATATATATATATATATATATATATATATACACACACACACATTTTCTTTGGATATCTTCTATTTTAAAGTTTGAAATATTTTTGACATAGATGATAGGAAAATTATCTCCCTAAGATTTGCTTTACCTGATCTCATATACTGATCACGCTTTTTTCATAATAAAAAAAAATGAAATATAGCCAATATTTAACCTTTGTGCATACAAAAAATGGTGAGTTAAAAGAACAGTTATTCCCTTGACACTGCTATTATTGTATACACTTTTGACTCCCTTGACCATGTTTACTGTTTTAAAAAGTGATGATTAGAAATTTAATGAAATCCAAATATATAAACATGGATTTAGGCATATTTTTTTTATTCTTGGGAATTGACAACAAAGATATTAAACACTATTTATTAGATTGAATAAAGCACTTGTTTTCATAGTGAGTTACAAAATGATAATTAATAAATATTGCATTAATAATTTTGTAATTTTTTTTAATAAATTTTTGAATAAAAATATTCTTTTTTAAATTTATTTCTTTATAAAATGATAAATCCTTATAATAAAATATTAGGATTAATGCAAATATAAAATTTGTCATTTGTTATATTCAGCACCTCGACTCCAGTTTCATAAACGCACCTTTCTGTAATCATTTGGTCCGCTCATCAGGAGGTTTCAGCAATTGACTGCAGATTTTATCATTGTCGTTATTTTTACAGTAAGTTTATAATTTTATGCTATTGGTGTTAGGTTGAATTTTTATCTTTTTTGTGGGTGTTTGTGTGTACGTGTATATGTATCAAATGTCATTATTTCTTCTTTTTGGAATTTTCTTGTCCACTTATAATCTCACCCTATTTCGTTTCCTTTTTTTTTTTCTTCTTTCACTCTGAGTGTCAAAGATGTTTATAATCTTGTAAAGAAACAGGGAAGCACAGTGGAGTAATGGATAGCGGCTGGGATTGGGGAATCAGACAGCCAAGTTTGAATTTTGTCAAATCCATTATATTTGCTTACGTACTAATACCCTTGGGAAAAATATGAATCCTATTCTTCAACCCCAGCTATAGGTAAATAGCAGGACAGATCAGCTTCTATAGCCTTCAATGGCAACTGGTCTACTACAGAAAGTAATGGCAACCAACTGCAGGAAAAAATCTGCCTCATCCGCCATGTTTCAAAAGATACATGATTGCTTAAGCATGTATCATGCATGGTACATAACTGAAATAAAAAGGGAGTCAAAAGTGTGTACAGTAATAGTGGTGTCAGAGGAATAACCATCCTTTTGAGGCACCATTTATTCTTGTGGGCACAAGATTAAACATTGCCGAAATATAGAAGTAAACTTATATAATTTTATTTTGATTCATACTGAACTAATATTACGTTGCAGAATTCTGGGATGACTTATTTATTATCCTTATTTACATTCAGACTAATATCCTCATCTTTGTTGTTAGCAAAACGTTTCTTCAGCTGTCTGTCGATCTGGATAAGCTTCAGAGAATTGCAAACTGCATCTTTTATTGAAGCTTATGACCACATCATATTGAAGCACCAGTTCCCGTACGATCATTGAAGTTAAGCAACATCTGTACTCAGATGGGTGACCGCTTCAGAATACCAGGTGCAGTATGGTTGAATGTGGGAGTGGTGTAATGGATAATGGCTCGGAATTGTCAATTTGAGAGCCAAGTTCAATTCTCATTTAGTTTGTTATATACATTATGGGCAAATATTTCTTTGCTTGTTTTTTTTTTTTTTTTTTTTAAAAGCATTACGCCCCGAGCAAGGCGTGAAGCCACTAGGATGCAGGGGGTTGCAGAAGATTTGGAGCAAGAGCAGATAGGAGTGATAGAAGAAAGGATGAGGAGAGGGATAGTGGATAGATCAAGGTAACTGGAGATGTCGATTGACATTACATTTGAATAGTTGGAGATTATAGCTCTCGGGGAAACAGTAATTGGGAAGGGTGTTCCACAGGCGAGAGGTGCGAGGTATGAAGCTATTGGAGTAGAAGAGACGGCTACATTTAAAAGTTTCTACAGTGTAAGGGTGGGAGCGGGATGCCAGCCTTGTAGGGCGCTTGAATTCATGGAGTCTGGGAACCAGTGAAAGCAGCTCATCGGAGCAATTACCATGAAAGTATTTGTAGAAAAGACAGAGAGAGGTGACGGCGCGTCTGTGAGAGAGTGGCTGTAGACGAGATGCCAGATCAGGGACAATTATATTACATATCCGTAAGAATCTACCTTTTCTCTCTCCTGCTATGGGTTAATTAGTAAAACTTTTATGACTCAACCATTATTATCTCCCCCTCCCCACGAAAAAAAAAGGAATTCTTATGACCTAATATTTTCTGGCTTTAAATTACCTGCAGAGAGTTGATAAGCAATAGAAAACGAATCAACCACCTTTTCAATTGTTCTTGTTCCATTGTCCATGTTTAAATAAACATGTGATATCCCTGGGGATGGACAGTGAAATAAGTACAATCTACCCCTGTTTGATTTGATTAAATAAACGGTTCAGTTTGAAATTCTCTTCTGGATCAAAAATCACAAAGTTCAGGCGCTATTTTTTCATTTTATTTCTAGTTTTCCTTTTCATAAAGGAAGTCAGTCCAATCTTTTTTTTAATTTTATTTTATTTTATTTTATTTTCCTTCTAAAAATTATAAGTTTTATTGGTTACAGAAGTTGAATTTTATTTCAATTTTTATTTATTTATGGAAATTCAGAATATGAGGCTAGGTAAAGCAACCTGCTAGAGAGAGAGATAATTCAAAATTTGCTGCGATAAAAACGTTTTGGACGCTAAAATGAAAGATACTCCCCCCCACCTTCTATCTTTGACATTAAAATAAGTGAACTACAGTGTAACCCGGATATAAGAGAATTCGGGACAGACGAGTTTCTTATACCATTCCATTAACACAGGCTCTAATTTGGGACCTTTATATCGCTCTTTCTGAAAATTCCCAATTATTTATATAATTAACACAGGCTCTAATTTGGGACCAGAGAAAATCTCTTTATATCCGGGTTACACTGTATTTAAAAAATTAAAACTATACTTTCTTAAAGTTAGGAAAAAAAATAAACAATTTTTTTTAAATACTAAAAAATAAAAATTAAAACAATCTTTTTTAACAAACATTTTTTTTTAATTTATTTATTCATTTTTAGCGTGTGTAAATAAAATAAAAATGAAATAACTTGCATTAATTAATTAAATTCATTGATATTCGAGGAGTTTGTTAACAATTGCTAAATGAAAAATTGCAAATTAAATAATTATTATTTAATTTGCAATTTTTATTTTAATATAATAGATTATTTTTATTAACTTTAATTTACCTGAAACTACTATTTTAATTTTTTTTTACTTATTTAATTTACCGAAGACAATTGCGGAAAAAAAATCAATAAGTTTTCAATTCATCAGACATCCAAACTTGAATTTTCAGTGAGAAGGGTTAATTTTAAAAAGCAATTTGAATTATCAATTGTTTTCTTTTTTAAATTTTATTTATATTTTTTTTTAAGTAACTTAAAAACTTTTTAAAATTTTTACCTCTGTTGTTATTATTTCTTCAGTAAAACTTTAAAAATTACGGACGTTAAGTTTTTAATATCAATATCGTATTTAGATTTGAACGTAAAATAAAAATTAATACAAAATTTCAAATTAAATTTTTTTTAAACTATTTTTTTTTTTTTTATTTTTGCGTATTTTTTTTTGTCTTACCTTTTTTTTTTCTCTCGTGTCGTCTGGATTTAACTTTGAAAAAGGTTTTTTTAAAAAATAAAAAAAATGATTAAATAAAAATTTAATCTATTTTTTATACAATTACTTAAAGCAACGAGTACAAAAAAAAAAAAAAAAAAAATAATAATAATAATTTTTAAATTGTTTTTCTTCTCCGTAAGTCAAAACAAAACAAAAGTGAGAAGAAATCGTAGGACGGTGACAACCAAAATTAGTTCTTCGTTTAAAAAACAACACAAATTCTTTAAGACACTGAGGCTTTTTTTTTTTTTAAATCCTTCACTACAAATATGTGGCTCCTGATCAGAACGAATTCACTACTCAAACAAAACCAGCTTGCTAACCACTACACCACGTCGAGACGCCCACACGAAATCAAGTTTAGGACTGGTCGTTAAACAGGAGGAAAATATTGGTAAATGTCATGATTTCAACTCAAAATAACATCATAGAAAAAATCATAACTTCGGTTTCTGTCTGCTGAGGAAAAAAAAAAATAAATACTATTTTTTTTTTTTTTTTAATAAAATAAGAAATATTTAATTAATTTAATTTCTAATTTTGTAGATTACACACATCCCCACATTTAGATACATTTTTATTTATTTTCAATTTTTCTAGTTGAATTATACACCTATATTGCATATGATTCATTATTGTACATAATTAAGTTATAATAAAATATTAAAAAATAAATCTCTCACGTCCTCATAAAATTGTCGACTTTATGTCACTCAACTATACTAATGCAATAGTAAGGTAATAATGTAATACATAACATATTTCTATGATATAAATTAATATAATTTTGACTAAAAAACACAGGACATAAATATAATACATAAAATGAAATGAAATTGTTTTAGGCTGCTTGTATATCTATTGCCAGTGATGTCATTGGCTCTCAGTAGATGATATGACATTGGCATTGTATATTTAGGGTATTCCAATAACTTGGACCGATTTTAAATGTGAATTAAGTTTAAGCGTCTAATGAGTTTTTTCTTTTTCTTTCAGATTTAAATCCTTAAGTCTTACAATGAAGTTTACTTCTGATTGATATCTGCCAAATATAGCATTGAACGAATTAAATAAAGGGTATTCCAATAATTTGGACAAATTTTAAATGTGAATTAAGTTCAAGCGTCTAATGAGTTTTTTCTTTTTCTTTCAGATTTAAATCCTTAAATCTTACAATGAAATTTACTTCTGATTGATATCTACCAAATATAGCATTGAACAAATTAAATAAAGGGTATTCCAATAACTTGGACTGATTTTAAATGTGAATTAAGTTTAAGCGCCTAATGATTATTTTTTCTTTTTCTTTCAGATTTAACAACTTAAGTCTTTGGCAATTTCAACCATGGAAAGATTAACAATCAAACAACATGTTAAAGTTATCGAAGCCTATTACGAAAATGGACGTTCAAACAGAATGGCATTTTGCAATTTTTTTTTATATTTATTGTTTGGTTGTTGATTTGTAAATGTTTACCATTGTTATTTACTATATATATATATATATATATAACTTTGTTTACTCATTCATACTTAGTAGTGTTGGAAAACAAAATTTTTATTTTAAATTCTTTTCATGGATTCAGAGTTAACAGAATTTTGTTGTCAACCTAGATATTGTAATGACATGAGATATTGCTAACAAAAAAAAAGAAAGTGGAATTGTCAAAACAACAAACCGAGATAAGAAGTGGTTGGGATAAGTGAAAGAATTTTTATTTCCCCATGATTTACAAGGTTTCATCACTTGCTTGTATATCAGTTGTGGGGGAGAGTTTGTTTGTTTGGGGTATAACCCAAGGTTGTAGTCAAGTGAGATAGATTCATATCAACACACATTGTAGCAGTCAAGAGTTTCAGCTGCCACTGGTTTTATCGCTGGCCAAAGGCATTGTTATTAGTGTCACTGCTGATGGCCTGGTTAAGTTTGCCTGTCATGGGGTCTGTCATTAATGACAGACTGGTCAAATTTTCACTAGACATGCATGTGTTGATATATGTTACAAATAAAACTAAGCCTAACAGACTGGAGGCACAGTGGAGTAAGGAAGACCAGCTCGGATTGAGGAATCAGAGAGCCGAGTTTGAATTCCAGTCAAATCCATTGCCTTACGTGCTACTACCCTTGGGAAAGGTATGGATCCTCTTCTTCTCCCCCCAGCTATGGGTAAATAGTAGGACAGCTCTATCACCTGAGATGGCAACTGGTCTACCACAGAAAGAAATGGATAACCCTATCAGCAAGCAATCCCTTTTCAGCTTTTGGGCATGTGTAAAAAGAAAAACTCAGAGTTTATGTGCTGTAAATTCCAAGAGGCTAGCTCTCTTTTAGTTCAGGCCAAGATCAAGATAGGATGCTAAAATTAGAGCTCAATTCAGTAGCCACACATATCTTAGACTATACACATTATTCATTCTCTAATTCACACTAACAGAGTGATTCAACTTTTCCTTCCTTCTCTAAGAAGACTCTTAAAAACATTTCTTGAGTTCACATTTTATTTCAGGACGTATCCTCAAAACCTCTTCTACATGAAAATGATCTAATATCAACACCTGGAAGGTAATCACATAGGTAGCAGGTGCAAAATAAGACACCAAAGGATGTCAGTGGCTGTGCTGACATATAAATAAAGGCAACACAGTTGAACTTAGGATGTGCATACATGAGACAACGAGATGACTGGGAGTTATATAAGCACCTCACTCAAGAGGAAAAATCAATCTCCCACATCCTCACAAAAAGATCAAGATTTGAAGTCTATACCCAAAATCACACAGCCTCATACTGATATTAATTGACGAAGTTCATCAGTGAATAAACGATGATTTTTAGAAGATCTA